TTCACACAGGGCTTTGTAGTTTTGGATTTTGTTTTCCCTTAATAATAAAAACCTTCATTTAAAAACTGCATGATGTGTTTACTTGTGTTATCGTTGACTAATATTTAAATTTGTTTGATGATCTGAAACATTACAGTGTGACAAACATGCAAAAAGATAAGAAATCAGTAAGGGGGCAAATACTTTTTCACACCACTGTATTTAAAAATATTCTAACCAACAGTCCTGAACCCAGAGGTATTAAATTTACAATCATATACAGTATGACAAAAAACAGCAGCAAATTCTGACCTTTGAAAAGCCGGAATGCGCAAATGTTTGATATTTTTCCTTAAAAATTATATAAATATCTAATTGATTATCAGAATTGCTGCAGATTTTCAGTGGATTTATCGACTAATCCCTGCAGCCCTCTTGCAGTTGCACATATATGCACACTGACACATCTCACGTTGATACCATTATAGTTACAAGATGACAGTTTAAACAATCACCTCGCTCCTTAAATAGCTGGTCTTTGCTGTGTAATGTGGTATCACTGCTCATATTCCTTGAAGCTTGATATACCGTTTCTTTTTTACATTAGCTGAGACACTTTTATTTTTAGACTATGTGGACACTTTCAGTGTAAAACGCAGCAGGAAAGCCTGATATTGTTGTCGCTATCACAATGATTTTTATGCACAGTTATATACTTTTGCATTAAATAGATAAATATAAAGTTATTTAATATAATTTATTATAGCTGTTCATTTAAATAACCTTTCAGACTAGGAAGCACTTGACTAGATAAAGCTATTTGATCAAGGATTCAACATAGAGAGATGTTACTATACGCTACTTTTTTTTTTCTACAGTGGAAATAAACCATTCTTATTAAAACTGTCAGCACACTGGCTGCGGGCCTAGATGGGTTTCATGCTTGTTTTCTGTTCAATGTCACAAATCCATTGGCAACCACAGCATCATACTGTTTATCTTTCAGTAAAAAACAACAGATTTTTATGTGAAGAACTGATGTTAGCCATCAACTGTGTCCACCTCCCTGACTTTTAAGGACAAGTGCTGCGTAATTACTGAAGCAAGAACATATGACCTAATAATAAGAAGACACCTACATTTCAATGAAACCAGTGGTAAACACCAGCTCCTCTACTGTCAGTCTGTGCCCTTATCAGGCCCCAGAACGTTCTAGGCACGCCCCTGCAAGAGATCATCCACTGG